GTATCCAGAAATTTGCCTTAAGTCACTAATGGAGGCGTAAATCCAAAAATTTTAATATGCTCCGGTTAGCTGATACTTCCATTGATGTATCCATCAGTTGGCATTTCCCTCGAACACTAAATTTATATATATATATATATAATTCTGTACTTAATTATTTAAAAAATATTTCTGATGGTATCGAACCCGACCAACACACACTTTTCCTTTTTGGAATTTTTTCTCTCTCCCTATGGTTTTATTTTTCTTCGCGTTTTCGCTACTTAAAGTTTGTTACTATCATTTATCATTTATTTCACATATGTTACATAGGTAAGCATGCGGTTTGCGATATATGTGTTGTGCTTGAGTGAGCGACGTAGTGCTTTAAGCACGTTTTCAGCTCAATGTGCTGTTCATTTCTAGGTTTTTTTTTTTACAGTGACATTTGAGGTCACGTTAGGTGTCAAATTTGATTGAATTTTCTCGTTTCTAGAAAACCAAAAACTACGTGCATAATCTGGTTAGATTGTCCAACGCCTATGCACACGCAGATACAACGTTCAATATTCCAGAAATTTTTTCCACTTGGTCCCTACTGTACTTTATTGCACTGGTTAATGTAGTAGCTTGTAATAAATCGATTGCTTGCAACAGGATGGTTGTGTAATAAATACGAGATTAAAATTTCAAAAAAAAAAGCTACTTGCGATGAGGCATACTAAGTTTGTACGCAAATATGCAACTGCTAGTAGAATATGAGATAAACCTATCCATCTTATTCCATTTTTTTTATTTTTTGTCCGATGCTTGTCTGCTTTATGCCTGTCCCTGTTTTCTTGGGCCGCAATTATCGATATATTTTGATAGAACCTGGTGCGGTGAAATTTTTTGGACCAGGATTATTTGACAATTGAAAATGGATATTGTTTGGGGGTAAGGCAGTAGCGCATAATTTTTACTGTTTAATGATGAAAATAAGCAAAAAACACTTTTAAATGGGCAGAGCGTAAGGTATTTACCGGTCAGCCTTGTCCACGTAAGCTTTTAACGTATTTATGTTCACTTTTTTGAGATACTTATACAGTCATGCAGTTTCCACAAAATATTGTTTTTTATACATTTACCATCTGTTTTAACAAAATGTTATTATTTTTATATAAAAAGTTAATTTTCTTTTTTTAATGGAAACTCCTTATCTTATTCGAGATTTAAAGGCATATTCTATTTGTGCTTTTACGCCGCATTCACAAAACTATCTCACAAATCTGAAAACAACTTCGCACAATTGACTGTGCACAACGCATTCATATTAGACGTATCTGGTAATATACCCAGCCTCATAGGGACCGAAAGCAAATATAATCTTTTTTGTTTGCATGACAAGCCGAGAAGTAAAGAAAGGCAAAGATGAAATTTAAAAACCGTTCAGAGCGAATCTGGTGTACGCGTCATACCAAGCTGATACATAATATTGCTTGCTATTCTCAAATAATTCTTTATTAAAGGCGTATCCATTGACCGATTAGCGCTAATTTAACTTAAAATTTCAAAACAATTCTGATTAACATTTTCGCAAAACCGATTTTTCGGAGACATCCAACAAAATGTTAGAAATATCCATATGTATATATATATATATATACATCGTTTATTTAGTGGGCATGTGTAGGCATATGGCGACTATGGCCAATTGTGATTCCGTACATTAAAAATATAGATGACAATTTTCAGTTCAACGCTGTACTACTGTGTGCCTTTAAGCGTTCCAATTGCAAGCAATATGTGGACGGTTCGAGATCATTTTTATGGACGAATGTTGCAAACGATATGACTGATCTGGTATACCTATATACTTTTGTGTTTTGTATATAAAATAACAGGAACAGTAAGCAAAAAAGGTTGGAAATCATTCTTATGAAAGAAAATAATGACACAAACTGTGCAGGTAACGAAATATGAATGTATTCCCAATCCATATTTTCTGATTTCGGTATATTTTTAAGCATAAACAGACATATCCTTTGCCATGGAATTCCAAATCATATAAAAATACAGAAATTAGAATATATAAAAAATTATGTTTAATTAAAGAATTAACGAATTTTTCTAACACATACATAAAATCTTATATTAAACATGTGCGGATGAAGAAAGGCTCCTAGAAAGGCACACTGAACGTTTCTTATACCAATTCGTTTAGAATTATTTTCCAAATCTACCTAAACTTGTCTGTTTGTCAATCAATTCGTCTCATGTTTGTACATGTATTTTCGTGTTCAAGTGTTGAGATATTCTGATGTTTTTCCACTCAAGCATGAATCATGACGAAAATGAGTTCTTCTGCACTCCCCTTCCTTCTAAGGATTCTCACGAAAGGTAAACCTTTGTAAGGCAGTAAAATTTTCAACTTATACTACTTTGCGATGAAAGTACATGAACGATAATACGATGTTAGAAAATTAATTTTGCTAAATTCGTAGCAAGTCTGATTATGTTGTTAGATTCTTTCCTATATGGGGGCTTCTATAGGAAGTTTGCCTTCACATGGATTAGATGTATAATTTTTGATATTTCATCGCAAAAATAAATACGGATTTATAATAGATGAGGTGGAGTGGGATACTTAATGCTTTCACTTTTTTTTTTTTAAAGTAACTTTAATTATTTGATCCCCTCTATTTATTCATCTGTTTAATATAATATAAATTTCATGGAAGTAAGCTTTTAAGACGCCAATTAAAATTATTGACTTAAAACAAAAAGGGATTAGTGTCAAAAAAAAAAAAAAAAATACATATTTGTAGTCGAAGATTAATTATCATTAAATATTAAGGCAAAATAGAGATAAAAAATAATAAATAAATAACTAACAACTCAATGGTCGGGAGCTCAAAACACAAATGCGGTGAAATTTACAATACAGGCGTGCATGTGAAGTAAGTTATTCGATAGCCTTTAAATCCAGTGTAGATTTATTTACAATTAAATCAATTGTTAAAGTGCATCAAAATATAAACGTTTTAAGATTAAGCTAGCGTTTTACTGTTCAATGCCGTGAGAACTCTGACAGCAAAGAACAGACTTATTGTTGCTTCATTTTGAAGCTATCAAGGCAATGTATTAAACTAAGGTTTTAAAACAAGGCCCTTCTGCTCAACAATTGAAGCATGTGGATTAGAGAAGTGGTAGCTTAACTGGAGAGTATATTAAGAGATCAATTGATTATTTGAAAATCTATGGCAAAAGTTAGATAAAGATAACCTGTCTGGCATTGTACAACGAAACTAACTAGAAATGAAGCCACCTACAATCAAAAGTCCAATAGGCTTTATAAAATAATAACTGTGCAGCTTCATTTCGAAAAAATAGTTTACAAGAAGCTTTCGCATTGGGCTAGGCCAGCTTCAATGAAGACATAACATGAAACGGGTTCTCTTCTATCGAGTTGAGACATCCTGCAAGTTCCATTGCCGATCTGATCACAGGGTCGTAAAATATTTTATATGTTATATAGACCTTGCCTTTGCCAGAAGGACGAACTTGGAGGAACTAGGGTCCCTAAAAGAAATGCTTTCGACCCTTATACAATCTTTTAAACTTCTATGGGTTACAAATCACAAGCCATTCATCGAAACATCTTCCAACTATTAGGAATTTTATTAAATGATTTTAATTTTTTATCTACCTTGAACAATATGAAACAATCGGATATATTTTCAGACTCGAAGGGGTCAATGCAAAGTTCAGCTTTCTCTGACGACTTTTGCAACGTTACAAAGTCGAAGAACAAAAAAAGCATGGAAAAGGGAGCCGGATAACGGTCTAAAGATTATAAGATTGCTGAAATATGTCTTCCGAATAATAAACCTTTTTCCTCCCTTCGAGTGTTTTTACAGTAATAAAGTGTAAAATTTTCACTTCAATTTACTTTGTAAAAAAGAATTTTATTCTCTATTCAATTATTAAGACTATTATTATATTAATATTCTTATCGTTATAATCTGCATAATATTTCGGTTTAGAGATGCATTTCATCGCCAATAAAACTATTCACTTTTCTTTTCCTTTCAATTCATTTCATTAAACGATTATGACAAATTTTTAAGAGGTGATAATCCTTTTAAGTGCCAGCAATGCAATAAAATAATATAATTTCAATAATGTCCCTGAGAACTACATGAAGAGGTAAAAAAAAAAAAAAAAAAAAATTTTTTTTTTTTTTATATAACTGCAATAAATTTCTAAAGCTTAACAAAATGTTACAACAGAATTTTCGCATTGAATTCCTTAATAAATTAATAAAGTTTTTTAAACGTTTAAAACTTTTGTTTTCGAATAGCAGAGAGAGAGAGAAAAACGGGAGCTCGCATTATCCATGTCATACGTAGAGCGGAAAAAAAAAACATTTTAATCAAATTAAAATATGAAAATAAATTTTTGTTATAAATCAACCATAACTGCAATAACAAAAACAAAATCCTTAGCCGACATATCAATTTAAATAAAGTAAAAACATAAACTTTAAAATCGTTTTTTTTTTTTTTTTTTTTTTTTTTTTTTGGTGATTTTCATCTCTATTGAGAACATTTGCTTATCGATCAACGTCGAGACGGAAATATAAAATGAATCGTTTCGTTTGTAACGACTGGACTATAAAGCAAGATTTCTATATTTATATATTTTTTATTCGTACGTATGGATGAAGACCTAAGATACATAGGACTTTGTTTGTCAGACTTGTGATTGATCTTAAAGTGCATATATATCGTTAATATTTTTATTACCGTATGATAGTTTATGGTTGACCATAGATGCTTATCCTAAACAAATAATTTTCAATCCTTTCTAAAGCATTTTTAAAAAAATTCTAATAATTTACGTCAATCGTGCAATTATGTTCAACATACTTTATAGTAAGCTTTTCTGACATGATAAATAAGATGGATTCTCTTAAAAAGCATAACTCGAATTGTTTAGCTTTATTCATTGTTTATTCATTTTAATTTTCACAAACTTACCACTGCTCGGCAAGCTGCTACTGTTGGACTACGATAAATATCACTGGCGCCAGATAAACTTTGAAAGTATTTTTTAGTACCGTACACAGTATCCATTTCGATGTGTTGTATTGCAGTTTGTTTTTGGCAGTTCCGTTTTCCCTTTTTTTTTTTTTTTTTCTGTTTCTGATATTTAGTTAAATGTAAGGAAATGATAGCTGCTTTGCTGGTAAATGTTATTTAATGAAACTTTTTTCCAGTCCATAAATATACACTAGAGAGGTAGAGTTGTGGGACCGCAGAACAATCAATTTTCTAGTTTTACCTTTTCATGAAGATATGTAACATTTTTGTTATCAACTTTTATTTAACACTTCACTGGCAGCAACTTTCTTTTTATATAATAAAAAAAATTTAATTAACTAAAAGCTTTAAAATATAAAATTAACTATTTTATATTATCGTTAAAGAATGTTTATTAAATGTTCACTCATTTTTCATGATTATTTTAAAAAAATTTATTAATTCTCTCCTCTGCAGATGTAAAAACAAAGCTGTAAAGAGAAATGTATAAAAACAAAAAAAACAAAAAATTAATAAAAAATAATTATTTTACATATTTGTCTAAACCCAAATCTGACAATCATAATGACTATCCTAAGAATGATTAAAAAAATTGTATTCGGTTTATGGTGAATATTTAATACCCACTACATCAAGCCAACATACAAAGAAGGTAATCAATGTTAAATTTTTAGTACAGTACAGTACAATAGTTGACCCATTACAACCGTTTTTAAACTTACACTTAACGCCCAGAAATATCCGATTTTTAAAATTCCTACAAATTGTATAAAGAAACGTGTTCGGTTCATAGCTGCTGATGCTTACGATACAACTGGAGGCAATTTTTGCAAAAACTTTTTAGTGCCCTAACAACGCGCAATTCTTAGCCAATCCAAGTGCCAAGACAGACCACGAGATCAATTAGAATCTCATGATGGTCATAAAACTAAATGCTTTAACCCATCTCTGATAGACATTTTCAACTTCTGCCAAAGGAGGAAAAAATTTAATCTACCTTTATATTTCGGTGTCACTTCTAGTAGCAATAGTCAGATAAAATTTAAAACTATATGAAAAAATCTCACTTTTCATTGATTAAAAAACCTGTCTTATAATGCTACTCTTTTGGCTCTTCATTTATGCTTTATGTTTTTTTTTTTTTTTTTTCTTTTTTTGTTTGTCTCATTAAGAAAAACCCGTTTTTTCTAAGCTCTTTTTGTACAAAACCATATAAAAAACGTTAACTGGAAAATTCTGCGGAAAATGAAATTAAATTAAAACTGGTCGTGATATCACTAAAGATAAAGATTTTCCCTAGCGAATACACATCTATGCAAACACACGCAAATTAATGCCAACTTATAATGATAACATACACAAACCAAATTTAAACCTAACAGTTTAGGATTGTTATGATCAATCATCATATTAGTTTGAATGCGTTGAACATAACACACATGAATACACTACAAATAATTCAAAGATATATTTATTAATGATGTTACTTCGGGAGCGTTTCTTACGGCTGAAGCATTCTTGAGAATTATTACACTTTCTATGCGTCGGAGCATTACAATTTGTCTGGAATTACAAGTTGTTCGCTAACTATCTATTATCTGATTTTGTAAAAGGTCGTATTTTAGGGGACACATCAGCCAACCCCTATCAAAAATCCGCCCAAATGATTAACTGAGTTACTGCTATTTTTCAAATGATACCTAAAGGAGTTGTCTCCCGTGTACGAGGTAATAACAAAGTGGTGAACGGATTTGCATAACTTCAACAACTTGTGTGCACAGACTTTGCAGATTTTTCTGCTTGACATTTACCTGCATTTTTCTTCCAATAGTTGCCTGATTTTCCCAGCATTTCGATATGCTGGCTTGGTACGCTACACAAATGTCCTTAATCTGTCATTTTTCTTCAGTCTTTTCTCTCGGCTAAACAGTCAATCGTCTCGTTGCCTTCGATACCCAAATAATCACGTATCCATGTTAGTTGTACTTCATCTTGTTTTCCGAACTCAAAGATATATGCAACGTCCTAAGCTGAAACCCAAGTCGATGGACTTCAAAAACAAAAATAATAATATTGTGCTTTCATATTCCTATTCATTTATTAATATATGTATACATATTTCTCCCAGGATGAAATTTGAATACTCATCTCAAATTTTATTGTCTATTTAGGGTGAATGATTGACAATCTTTTTCTGTTCTTCTTCGATCCTCAATTACTTGGATACTTTAAGCCAATTTAGTCAGATTGGTTGGCTTCTTGCAAAGAATTTAATAAATATAAACATTTCCATCAATCTAAAATTTTGACAGGACCTATGAATACCTATCAGTCCACCTGTTTATAGTAATTACAATTCTCTTATAGAGCCAACGTTTGGCATTAGTTCTAGACTAAGAATGTATAAGATTGTAAAGTGGGACAGAAAGATGCTCTAAATAAATAGAACACTAAGTCAACTTCTAATACTAAACCTATTATTATTATTATTATTATAATTTTAGAATAATGAAATAAAATCTTAGACTAAAAAAAAGACATTGAGCACTAGCAGCACAGGCTATCGGCTCTATTACTAAATATCTAATATATCCGATATATCTTAATAATTTATGACGGATACCACAAGGATTTTGTTGACATGTCCATATCTAGTAAGGAAAGGATTCAGACTTCTCTATTCAAGGTTTGCCTTGAGACCTTTTATTTGCTTAGTTGTCTTCAAATTCTTGGATCAATGATGATTGTTGCAATCCAATGTAAATAAACTCAAGTATAAGAAGTTAAGGGACTTGAATCTACGTTTCGTAGATAAATATTAAGCTTCAAAATATGTACGCGCAGTCGGTCGCAACCAACTTCTGACTTTTTTAAAGGTTTGTTTTTAAAACATTTTCAATCAAAATATTAGCAAAACACAAAATACTGTATTGCGCAGATTTTAGGAAACAAAAAGCATTAAAAATTGTTTATTGAAAATTCAAATAATTATATGAAAATGTTTTTTTTTTTTTTCTACCCAACGCAGCAAATATGTTAGATTTGTACAAATGCTTGTAAATCATGAGAAATCTATATTTTTCATCAGTAGAATTGATTACGATATCTCTATCTCCCTGCTATGATTATGTGTCCAAAACATTTCCAACCGACTTGATAGCAGATATCTCCCTAACATTTTCCGATCCGTTCTATTAATTTCAAGGAGCAGTTCGATTGATCCACCCCATCGGCTAAAGAAAACTAAATATGAAAAAGAAGAAGTTTGTAAATATGGTTTAGGATATATATATATATCGATTATATAGGTTCATATTATATATATCGATTAAATAAGTTTTCACTCTACCTTGCAATCGCATGCCAACTAAGAGCCTATACGGTGAGTGTTAATAATTTCGGCTCATGCCAAATGAAATTGTTTTCTTTTTTTTTTGCTTTTCCTTTCAGAGTATTGCCATTCAGTTTTAACAGCTATTTAATAAGTCGTTATTCTTTTTGTTTTCATTTTATCATAATATTGAAAATTTGCAAAATAAATTGCCCGAGTGTTTAATTACACTCAACTAAATTAAATACATTTTTTGTCAATTTTTATGAAAATTAGCTAAAAATAATATTATAAAAATCAAATAATAAAAGAATTAATTATGTATACGCACAATGATGACAAAAAAAACAAGAAAAGAAAAAATTAATAAATAAATAAATAAAAGTCAAAATCAGTTTTAGTTAACCATTTTATTAAAATTTCGTATAGATAAACATAATAATCGATTTTTATCTAGTTGTCTGTTCGCAAGTATTTCGTTTAATATATGTACATATATACATGTGCGTATGTATGTATTAATTAGCAAAACCTTATTGACTTAACTATGCAATAATTAATAATAATGACATATTAAAAAAAGTATAATATATACACACGAAAATATGATTTTAATTTCTCTAATTTTTCTCTTGCATAATTATGTTTATTAATAATTTGAATAAATTGAGGTGATTTAAGTAAATGGCCGTAAAATTCCAATAAAGTAAAGGATAATATAAAAAGTTTCAGCATAGCAACCATCGCCATTTCCATTTTACAGTTAATTACCCTAAGGCTAAAGACATTTATTCGGTTTTAAAAAATTCTCTCTTCGCCCGAAAGCCAAACGTTTTGCTTAAGATTTAATCTGTTTAGTATAGAATCTAACTTTCTATTCAATTATCAACCGCCTTCCGGCTCTGTTATCATAACATGTTACGCTTGTGTTTGCTTATCATAGTGAACCAAAATGCGAAAATATTGTGCATTATGCAGCACGTGTAAATTATATATGATGCATTTTCACAGTTATAATGCAACAGTCTTCCTTTGAATAAGCACCTGAGAACGCCGACGAAGTAACCGATCGTTCTTGCAGCAATCTAATCGTTAGTTATTTCAGCAATCTAATAAAATTGATTCATAAATAAATTAATAAAACGAAAGTATTTTTTTGTACTCCCACCTTTACCTTTTTTCCACAAAATCACGCAAATATGTTGTGATTATATTTTCTCTCACTTTTCTTTTATAATTTCTTTAAATTCTTAAATATTTTATCTTTACATATTAGGATCTGCTAAAAAGTGGATCGCAAACAATGCCATGTTTTTGTAATCTCCTCGCTTATACTTACATGCCAGAATACCAAAAAAGCATAAAAAGATGACAAAAATAGTTGTTTAGCTCTTTGGCAAATGCATACGGTTTGTGATCTGTGAGTGATAGCGCACAGAATAAGATTGTATATCGTCCAGCACATATTTTTATAAACAAGTAGAGTGCAGCAGTCGTAAATAAAGTGTCTTACAGACTACGTCTTTTCGGCTATTTGTTTACTAGGAAACCCAAAAACAAATTAAATCTAAAATCAGAATGGTATCGTACAAACGAGACGTCCATAATAAACTGATATTTTGTTCTGCTTTTGCCACAGCTGTCCCAGCGATATTACCGTAAGGCGCAGACAAGATCGCTCAGTGTTCCAATTCGTTCCTTAATCATGGACAAAAGACTGTTAATGGACGGAATAAAAACATACCTTATGTAATTGAAAACTCAGAGAAATGAGAGCTAAGAAGCACTTAAAGCGAAGCTATACGATTGCTGTTGAAACATCAACAACCGGTTGTTTATCCGAACGAAATGTTTATGACATCCGGGAAC